CAATGGACAGGAGATGATCTAGTGAATTGCACTTTTACCGTCAGTAAACGTCTTTGCATATTTAACAGCAGGATACATGTGCTTGGATAGAATATCTTAACAAGGATGATGTGCAAACTGCATTAGTAGAAGCTGCAGTTATTCATCAGCGATACAGCTTTCCTTCTATCTACGGAAAATCTCTGCATCTATCGATAGGGACATCGAATGATAATTAGTCTTCCGTCCAACACAAATACAGTCCGGCTTTAATCAGTCAGGAGCTCAGAACCGAGAAGTGCTAAGTCAGGTCCTGGTCACATGCACTGATGGATGATCGACACTCGCCCTTTTCTTTCTGAAGTTGGTAATTAAGTACCGCTCTATGGGAAGGAAACAGGAGCATACATACCATGCCTGTAGCAGCTGCTTTCAATTCTGTTTTCAAAATATAGCCGATAAATGACTCAATCATGATAATCCAAGAAAGATAAATATTCAAATGCGCATAAGAGACCACCTGTATGACAATGAAACTTTAATTGCACCTATTGCGACAACTCATCAGAAAATTGAAAGAAGATATGGGAGATATGCATCTATGTAAATAAACGATAAATGAAATCTAACATCAAATCTGGTTCCGTGAACTCTCCGAATATACATAATTAACTTATATAACTACTGTTAACAGCTTCAGTTTTTGTTTTGCTCTTATCTTCAGCGCCACATGTTTTTTGTTTACCACATATGGATGCTTTTTCTTTCATTCATACTCTAAGATTAGATTCTTTGTCGAACTTGCTCAACTGGTAAACTTTCAATCTATCAACACTATCAATGGTAAATAACCATAATCTGTTCTCAGGCGGTTATTGGCCCAAGTTGAACCTGCAAATCCAATATGTACTGCGCATGAAACAGCTGATAGCTATGTGTGAAATTTAGTGTGATTTAGTTGGAAGGAATTTTTTTTCATACTTAAAGCTGTCTGGAATTTTGTGTTAAGATAGCTACTAAATTAGGAAATTTTTCGAGATATAATAGGACTACTGTGACGTGATCGTTTCTACTGTTGTTGTCTCATAATTTGAGTCCGAAGTGAACACGTGTTTAAACGGTGAGTCTAACATTATTTTATTGACATTTTTACGCACTGACCTGTTGGTTCTCTTATACGATTATTTTTGGTTTTTTCTGCATTAGTTCTACAGTTAGTATAATTACCAATTTCTTTGTATTATTCATTGTGCTGACATTAACTGTCATTAATTTACTCTAAAAATTGAAATAAAATTTAAATTAAACCGTTAAATCTGTGAAGCAGCTACGAAATTTTTGGGATAAAGAGTCGCTTGATAAAATATCGGTGACCAGAAGATGAATCGGAATTTGTTAAGCATCCCACAGCTAGCTATCAGTGTTGTACACTTCCGTGATCGCAAGCTTTTTCTTTGGCCATTTACATCGCGGCTGCGTCATGTCATATCTATTGAATTATTTATTGCCGAATGGTGCTCTCCCAGTCAGGCAAAGTTGAACAAGTTTAAAAAAAAATCTGCCTCGGTTCTACGAATGTTTGAATTGATTGAAATCGTCTGTCTCATTTTCTATTACGTTTTCGTCGCTGCTTATCCGGCATTTCAAATTCGTGGGTTCGAATCCCTCCGGATAAATTTTCCTTGTATCATTCTGAGGTAGACCACTGAGGCATGCACCACCACTATGAGGCATGAGAGTCTTCAGCAGCCTGCAGGTTTGCAAGGATGTTGAAGATGATGATAAAATGCAAAAGCAACAACTATGAGAAAAATACGTTAGAATAATAAAAAT